CCCCAAAACCCCAAAACCCCAAAACCCCAAAACCCCATGGTAGTGGATAATTTTAGCACAAATCTCTAATCTATCTAGAGAATTAAAAATGGATGAAAAATTAATCCCCGTCTTCTCAAAGAAAATCTTACCTTATTATGGCTACTATCTTGAGAATCGGTTCGTGCTAACCAATCTTTGGTAAGCTAGCTTGTGACCCTCTAGCAAGAAGACTTACGATCATTATATGTGGCATAAACACCTATACGGCAAGCATACACTTGGGTGGCACCCAACCATAGTCGAGATAGACTCCTTTGAAGTAGAGCAAAGTGAACAAACAAGGTAATTAGCCCTAGTCAGTTAGGACAACTGGCTTAACAAACTGTGGTTTTCATGAAGCTAGAGTATGATATTCACTTCTTAACAAGAGAGCGGTATTTGAAACTCTGAGCAGCCTGAAATGTGCAATCCTTCCTGATCTGTATTATGACTCAAAGTAAAATGCTTGAAATTCTGTTTTAAACTCTTAGCTTTATATATATAATAGCTTGCTTTGTGAGTAGAGAAATGACGGACTCTACCTGCTCCATCCTCATCCATTTTTACTATTTTAATTCATAGGTCAAAAATTCTGGGTTCTTACTGATATCTAAATTTCACACTTGATTGGGATGATGATCTTGACAAATTCATCAGATTTTACAAAGACTTGAAAGTAGCAGAGGTCAAGACTCCACATGGGTCTCACCCTCTGCTCGGAATTAACTCAAGAGTCTATCTGGGCAAGCCTTTTTCGTTGATATTTAGTCAATGTAATCTACAAAACCCGTGATAGGCAATGTCTGAAGTTCCAGCCAAAATTTGAAGAAGACCCATTTGGACCTACTCCTGAGACTCAAATTATCCCTCTGAAAGTGCCAAAGAACCATGTTTTCAGTACGAATCCTGACCTCGAAGCAAGCGGCGATCAAGGTACTGATGTGATAGTTAATCTTTCATAAATCTTTGAGTCAATTTCAAATATTGTCTGGTTACTAACGAATATAGTAACCCCTCAGCATTTATCGATGTACCAACAATTTTTGGTAAGATTTAAATCTTTGTGGAGTAACTATGCCATTGTGGGAGTACTCTGAGCCTGTCCAAGATTGATTGGGTTACAAACCAGATCAAATTTGGTCAAATAAATATCTAAGAATGGTTAAATTAACACACTTCAACTAGGCTTACGGTACAAAGTACCTGCAAGAAAGTGGAATGCTTGATTTCTTTTATAAAGAGTAAGCCATTTAGCTAAATTCGGTATTTCATGGGTTGACCTAGTTGATTACAGAGACTATAGGTTCAGAGGTGTCCAAAACACTGACTCTAACAGATGAGGAGAGTTCTATTACATCTCATTTCAGCCTTACTACCATAACTTATTTGCATCTTTGAGGTAAGGAGTAGATCTTAATCTGTATAGGCCAATGAAGATAACTGGAAGATGTATAATCATTCCCAAAAGAGATTTCTACTATTACTACTTAACTTCTCCTCAGACAATCCCAGCAGATTACCTGAAGACAGTACAAGAAGTAATGTTGCATTCTGAAAATTTCAACCAGTAAGTTCTAAGCAAGGGTTTGGAGTCGTTCAGGCCGGTCCTAGCTGCCTTTGGGCAACTATGAATCCTTATGCTCACAACTTTATAGAGGAAACCTATGGTAGCCATACAGGATTTAACCCATAGAAATTTCATGAAGAACATCACATTTGAGAAGAGTAAGTAAACTTTAGCATATCTTTGACTTTGGCTTCAACTTTAGGCCTTAATATTACTTTAGAATGAGACCTCACCCTCTGTCCTGACTATATATCTCAGTACTGGATGTGTACCCTTCTAGATAAGTCACTATTTCCCTACCTCTTTGATGAGCGGAGTGAGCAATTTGCTGCTAAAAACCTGACTCTAGACCGCTTGAAGGAAGACAAAGCTACCTTCAAACTAAACTTAGTTAATACTTACGTATATTTTCAACAAAATAGCCTTACAGATACCACAGGCTACACCACTGACTTCACAGCGTTCAGGAAGGTGAAATGTAGCCAGGCTATTCTCAAAACGAGGTACTTCAAGAGCATCGGCCATTACTGTAAGCCAATCTACAGACAAGAAGTGTCCAAATTTCTGTCTTTTTACGATATCAGCTCCCTAAAACTGAAGGACTTCCAAGCCTCTGAGGAGATTTGTAAAGAACAAGATTACGAATTCATTGAGTACCTCGAGAGAAATAAGGCAAAACATGGGAAATCCGTCATTGTAAACTAGTAAGCCTTGCTTTGATCACCTTCTCTTGGATTGGCCATCCAGCCAGCTTCTAATACCTCATAGCTCTGGCTTATGATGAGACAGGTGGAACATAATCATCCCACTAGAATCAGTGACTTATCATGAATCGGTGTTCAAGCCTTGCTTGAAGAAATTGATGATACCTGCACAGACAACCAGGATTAGCTTCACTCAGTCAAACAAGTTTTATATATCTCGAGCAATCCAGTATATCCAAAATCTCAAAAGATATTTCCCTGATTCAGAGATTGAACTGCTTGTCAAAACTCCAAGGAAAGAGCTTGTGTGGAAAGCCCTCGAGCCTTTTGCTCAAGAGTGGTTCAGACCTTAGGCTGAAGACATCATTGGCAGATTATTTCACTCCAGATTTTAATTCAATATGCAAAAAATAGGCCGGGGTTTTGGGGTTTTGGGGTTTTGGGGTTTTGGGG